TCTCGAATTTATTTAACTCATCTTATATTGTGATGACCCATGAATCATCTTTAAGGCATCGTCAATGCATTTAGGTTCAATTTGGGAGAGAAAAGCGGCATTTGCACAAAAAATCTTAAGAGAGGAACGAGTTTGAACCCCTTTAGACGTGTCTCCTATGATTAGCTCCTTGGGATGAGCATCTACATACTTTCATTCCTTAGGTAAGGATGTTTCCGAAGAAGATGCATCCAAGTTGCTAGGTGGAGAAGAGGATTCATTTAAATTCAAAGTATCAAAATTAAGATCATCATCGAAATTATTTTTCTTAACTTCGAAAACTTCATTAAAAACCACATGAATTGATTCTTCTATAACCAAAGTTCTTTTGTTAAAGATATGAAAAGCTTTAGAAATGGAAGAATAACCAAGAAAAATTCCTTTATCGGATTTTGCATCAAACTTTCTTAAGGTATCTTTTTCATTCAATATAAAGCATTTACATCCGAAAACTTTAAAATATGAAACATTGGGTTTTTTTTTGTTCTACAACTCATAAGAAGTTTTGGAAAGTAATGGTCTTACTAGAACCCTATTCATGACATAGCATGCCGTATTTATGGCTTCGACCTCAAAATATTTCGGTAGGCTATGTTCATTTAACATGGTTCTTGTCATTTCTTGTAAGTTTCTATTCTTTCTTTCTACTACTCCATTTTGTTGAAGATTTCTTAGAGTAGAGAAGTTATGGCTGTATCCATTAGATTCACAAAATTCTTGGACATCACGATTTTAAAATTCACCATTGTGATCACTTCGTACTAACGAAATCATAAAACCCTTTTCATTTTAAACTAGTTTACAAAACATAGAGAAATACCTAAATCAATCATTTTTGTATAACAAAAAGTAAGTCCATGTGTATCTACTAAAATCATCCACAATGACAAATGCGTATTTGCTACCTCCTAGGCTTGATGTAGCAATTGGTCCGAACAAGTCCATATGGATCAATTGCAAAAGATCTAGAGGTGCTTATTTGGTTCTTAGGTTTGAAGCTACATTTTATTTGTTTTTCTAGTTGATACGCATCACACACATTATGTTTGACAAACTTGATATGAGGAATTCCTCTTACAAGTTCTTTAGATGAAATTTGAGAGATTAGTTTCATGCTAGCATGACCTAATCTCCTATACCAAAGCCAAGTATCATCATTCAAAATTGAAAAGCACATTTCATTATATAGATCATTAATATCGATAGTGTATACATTATTTTGTTTTAAGGCAATCATAGATGTGTTTTTGTGTGGTTTTTCAATAATGCAAGTATTGGATTCAAATTTAATGATGTATCCTTTAGCACAATTGACTAATGCTTAAGAGATTATGCTTTAAGCCATCGACCAATAACATATCTTCAATAAAGAAGTTAGATTTGTTACCTATGGTTCCTTTGCCAATAATTTTACCCTTGTTGTTGTCTTCGAAGGTGATATATCCTTCGTCTATGCTAGTGAGCTTAGAGAATTGAGATGAATCTCCGGTCATATGCCTTGAGCATCCACTATTAAGGTACCATCTCTTGCTCCTAGCTTGTGATGGTATATTTTTCTACAAAAAAAGGATGATTTTTAGATACCCATTTGACCTTGAGTGTCTCAAAAATCGATCTACATAGCTTATTATGTTGCATTGAGTCATTTGAGGTTTTTTTAGGAACCCAAATCAATTTATGTGGACTATATTTCTTGAATGGACAATGATAAGCTACATGCCCAAATTTGTAACAAAAGTTACATTTGTTTCGGGATGAAACATATAAAGTAAGGCCTTTAACAAAGGTGGTTGGATTTTAGTGAGAGCTACTCATAAATTTGATTCCGCCTTTTCTATGTACTTGACCCTTGTTGGCAAGGATCATGTTCAAAGACTTACTACCAACCTCAAATTTTTCTAAGGTTTTTTTGAGTAGCAAGTTTTCCTTTTTAAGTGTTTCTAGTTTATCACATTTCGTACATGGAGCTAAACAATCATTATGCTTAACTTTTAATCTATCAAAATCACTAATAAGAGAAGCATGCTCCTTTTTTAATAATTTATATTTTTTACTAATTAATTTACATTCATCAAATAAATCATGAAAATCATTTAATAGTTCATCAAAAGATAAATTTGTATTAAATGAACTACTCACCTTATCTCCAATGGCCATTAGTGTTGAATCTC